TTCTTCATTTATTCTGTAGTCATTACTTCACGTTTCCGAAAACCTTCTAGTTCCTTGCTGTAGCCTTCAAGTTTCGACTCAAACTCTGAGCACCTGAAAGTGAAGATAACCCAATCGTATTTGGGCTTTCCAATCTGTGATTTTCAAAGTCACAGCACTGTGCACCCATGTTCAAACCTGGGGACAATTTGAGAGATCTTCTGATATAAGACACACACACACACACACACACACACACACAATTTATAATCCTACCTCCCAGAGATGGTTGCTGTGAACTGTGTTTGGTGGTTAAACTGTGCAGGTAAATATACATGTGTGCACGTATATAATATTCATTCATCCATGACATATTTATTATTGAGTGCTTAATACATTCCAAGAATTGCTTTAGGCATCAGGGATATATTTGTGAAGTACTCTGTTAGGTTTCCTACCCTTATGGAGTTTGTATTTTAGTTGGAGGAGACCTGGACAATAAATGTACATGGATGGATGGATGGATGGATGATGGATGGAGGGAGGGAGGGAGGGAGGGAGGGATGGAGGGAGGGAGGGATGGATAAATCCACACAGACAAAGATGAAATATTTCTGATAGTGATAAGTGCTCTGAAGAAGATAAAAGAGCCTAGTGGGTAGAAGTGAAGAGCTACTTTAGCTAGTGACCAGGAAAGACCTGTCCAGAGATTTATCTGCTTCGTCCATATCACGAACAAAGCAGGTCTCAAACTTACTTCTCCCTTTCCCTAATGAGGTAAAATAATACAGTGCTAAGTGGACAGAGTCTAGAACTGGACAGGCTAGGTTGAAATCCCTACTTTGCCACTTAGTAGCTATGTGACCTTGGTCAAGTCATGTAACATCTGCATGCCTCAGATATATAAAACGGGGATGAACAAGCACCTACTTTAGTATATAAAGCTAACATATACAAAATGCGTAGAATCGAGTCTGATCCCTAATAATCACTACATGAGTGTTTACTCTCATTCACTAGGATGTAAACTGTATCAATGCAGATTTAACTCCTTAATTCCCTTTTGTACCTCCCTCACTCGGAAGAATGTCTGGCATATAACTATCAGTCAATATTCCTGGAACGAATATGAAGATTTGCCATTGAGAACAGATATAGATTTGGCTATTATCTTAAGAATACTTAATCCTGTTATAGCAGTTTTAATATTCTTTTTCCTAAAAGTAATTTGAGAAAGTTAATTATCAAGTGGTTTGATTTGGGTTTTATTTCTAGTTGCACTGTGCGGTAAGCGGCCTCTGATTAGGTCCCCAGAGATCCCCACCTCCTGCATTTTATGCCTGTGTGATTGTCTCCTCTGGAGTTTGGGCTAGACCAAGTAACTCACTTCTAACGCAGAATATGGCAAAAGTAAAAGACTATGAGTCCCCCTCTGCACCCTCCCTTCCTCTCTCCTCTAAGGGAAGCCAGCTGCCACATAAGCTACTCCATGGAGAGGGCCCTGTAGCAAGAAACAGATAGAGAAGGTCATGGCCAGAGACCTAAGAGGATCTGAATCCTACTAACTCTCATGCGGGGGAAGCTGGAAGTGGATCCTCACCCAGCAGAGCCCTCAGATGAGACAGCAGCCTGGGCTGACATGTCAACCGCAACTTCAGGAGAGACCTTGAAGCAGAGGCATACAGCTAAGCTGCACCTGGATCTCCGACCCACAGAAACTGTGAGCCAATAAATACTTGTTGTTTTAAGCTATGTTTTGGGGGATGATTTGTCACGTGACAATAGATAATACATACTATTAGACTGTGGCCTATATAGTTTCTGCCTCTTCAACTATTTTTTCAAGTCTTAAAATATGGTCGATCTTTAGAAATGTTCTATGGACAAGTAAAAAGGAAAGTTTTGTTTTGTTTTGTTTTGTTTTCATTATAGAGTAGAAAGTTTAATATGTAGCTAACAAATTAAGGTTCTTATTTACTTCTGTTATCTCCTTACTCAAATTTCACATTATTCATTTATTTTAAATTATTCATTCATTCATTCATTCATTCATGTCATTTGATATACAAGGGTTGATGATTGCTTTAAGTTTTTACTTCACTCCCCTAAGTGACCATCTTTGGACACTAATGTTTTTGCCCCATTTTTGCCTTGATATTACTATGGCTGACTCTCGCTTTCTCTTCGGATTCGTATACTATACTGTTGCCCACAGACAAACTTAAGTTTTCTCTGCTACTCATCAGAACAGCAGATCAGGAACAAGATTAGATCAGTGGCAAGATTAAATCACTTACTAAAAATGTAAAGGGTACACAGAGGGTAGAGGAACATGCTACATGACACCACAGAGGTGCAACCAGCGAAATCTGGATTTGGGGACAAATAACCCAGTTTCTTTAATAAATAAATTGCAAGGAAAAAAAAAAAAACCACAGAAGATGGAGGAGGAAATCTACAGATGAGAAAAAAGTTAAGAGACATGACAACCAGTTGCAATGCTGTAGATATTATCTGGATTCTCATTCAAGTAAAGAAATCATCAAAATTAGATTGTTTTGACCCCCGATTATAAGCCTTCAATTACTCTCTATTGCATTTCAAAAGGAATCCAAAGGTATGACCGTGACCTTAAGGACCTACTCCAGCCTCACTCCACAGCCACTGTCCTCCTTAGGCCAAGGTCTTCCCATCGTGGAGACAGTGCATGCTGAGCTTTGTGCCCGAGCAGCTCTGTCCCCCATCCCACATCTTCTCGGGGGGAGGGAGCTCCTCACCCTTTGAGTCCCATCTCACACGAGCCCTTCCCTGACCACCCCCTGAATGCAGTCACGGGCTCAGGTCCCTGTTCGGTTTCTTCGTAGAACTTGTGTTTATCTACTTCGGCTTCCATCTCTGCTGTCTCTCTTGTTCCCTGTATCCTCAGAGAAGAGGAAGGAAGACGGGAACACGGAGGGAAGAGGGGAGGTGGCCCTGCCACCCTCTCCCTCCCCTGGTTCCTTCCCACCCCGGAATTAGAGATAAGGGAATGTAAGCGCCAGGAGAGACAGCCTGCCTCTTCTCGGCTTCCTGTTTATTTTTGTTTTGTAATAAGCTGTGGCTTTTAGAGTCTGAGAGGTATTAATTTTAGAGACTATCCTCACTCCAAATAAGTTCCATTCATTCACTCATTCATTTATTCACCCAAACAGTGAGCCTCAAGGCACCGTGCTTTATCGGAACTCTGGAATACAATCCCGGGCCCCTTCACTAAGACATGTTCCCTTCTTCCCCCGAGACGTCACCGAGTTTTCCACGGCACTCTGTGGCAAAAGCAGCTCACATCCGAGATGGTCCAGGTGGCGGAGGCTTTCAGCACCGCGAAGCCCACCACCGAGTGGGACAAAATGGGAGAAAAGCCGATTTTCCCACTGCCCACAAGATTAAGTGCTGCTGGGCACCTTTTCACATCATTAAGATTTTTTTCGAGGCTCCAAATACATTAGCCACATACAAAGAGAAATCTCTGATAAAAGCAGTTTTGAATTCTTCTCAGAGGGTGATGTTATATCAACTCAGTGATTATCTTAACACATTACTATTATCATTGTTTATAATTTCTCACGATTGCTTGGCACATGATCGTTTCCAGAGCACTTCCATGTCCATAATACACACATATACATGTATGTGTACATATTTCATATAACGGCATGGTCATTAGTAAAGGGCAGGCACTCGGGAAGTCGGGCTGAGTAAATAAGCTGTACTCATGGAACCCCTGGAGTCTAAGGGAGGGCAGTGGACGGATTTAAACATGGTCGATTGGTCAGAGTTTTGACAAGAAATATTCACTGTGATGTTCAGAGATCTTAATGAAGGGACTGTCTATGGAGGTGAGGTGTGGGTAGGGTCAAAGGAGCAAACAGGAGACAGTGAGGCACCCAGAGATGGCCTCCGGGGAAGCCACTATGACCCCTCAGGCTGAGGGGACAATGAGAACCGAAACCGGGAGGAGCAAGAACTGTTGTCCAGAAGGGATGCAGCTGTGGCCAGAGCCCCAGACCTAGCTCCCAGGGGTGGGGGGAGGGGCAGAGGAGCCTGGAGAAGGAACCCAGGGTTGGAGGCGGGCAGCAAATGGAGAATAATTAGCACCAAAGCCAAAAAGCGATGTGGGCAGGGAGAAGTTTCTCGAGAGGGGGTGGCTGCTCAAGTTAATGCCAAGGTGGCGGCAGGAGGCTTAGGGGGTCCCCAAGGAGGGCTGAGCCCAAGGCCACGTGCTCTCTTCCCCCAGCCTTTTCTAGAGCCTCCCCCGTGCCGGGCTCTGCTGCTGAGAGCCGGGGGACCAGTCAGCACGATCAGGCCGAGTCGCCTCTGCCAAAGGAGACACCCAGCTCTCGCCTCCTGTCACCGTAAATGACAGCTGTCCCCACACCTCCCAGAGCCGCCCTTACTCCTGTTAACTTCCACGGCACTTACTGTCTCTAAATAGTCTTACTGGAATGTTCTAAAGTGCGCGTGCAAGACGGGACTCTGGAAGTGAAGAAGCATTTTTGTCCCCCAAAGAGGTCACTGTTCGAGGGGCGAAGGAAGCTGACAGTTCCTGAACGTCCACACATGCTGGATACCACCTAGGCACCCCTGGGTCCTCGCATCTCATCCTTCAGCAGCAATTCCCCTCAGGGGATGACACGCTCTGAGACTGGCTCTATTACCCCACTGTCCACATGAGGACATGGAGGCCCCCAGAGCTGAGACCCTCGCCCCTGTTCACCTAACCTACCAGCAGTGGTTCTGCTTCCTGGCTGGGCGTCCAAGGTCGGTTCCGGGGGGAGGCTACACTTGGGGAGAGAGGGTAGGTGGAAACTCCATACTTTTGGCTCAGTTTTGTTGTGAAGTTAAAACTATCCCCCCTAAAAAGTCTATTAATTAAAAAAAAAAAAAAGTCAGCCCCACACACACCTTCTGTTGTTGTTACTGCATTTTTTCTGGGTAGCAGATGTAGGACATATTTCGACATTAGCGACTGCATGGGTTTACCCTTCGGCTCAAACTCTCACTCGGTGGAGAAGTCCCCGCTTTTCTCTACCCTGTCCCCTTCTGGTGAGTGTCTGCAGGGATGGTGGGGCCTAAAGTCAGGTAGTGGGAGTGTCACGTGTGAAGGGACGGTAACTGGTATGACACTGAAGTTCATAAACAAAGCGTTACAAGCTGGTGTGTGTGTGTGTGTGTGTGTGTGTGTGTGTGTGTGTGTGTGTCCGGGCAGGAGCGCGTGTCTTTACCGCGTACGTGGTACGTGGCCCGCATCACCCGGTTGCTGGAGTTTTTCCGTATGCCTCCATGTTCTTTGTCACTGTCTTAAACTTTTTACTTCAGCAGCTAAACACACTGATGTGTTTAGAAAAGAGCACAGCGCATAGGAAGAATCCACGATAAATAATAAAGGAATGAACGATTACAGCCACGTCAGCACTGCACAAGACCAGCTGCGGCCCAGGCATTTTGTCAGCCTCCTGCCAGGCCTTTATTATCCCTGTCCTGATATCTCACAAATCTGTGGTCCCCACTGTGGTCCCCGGTGTGAGGCTGACGGTTCTGCTATTATTATGGTGAGGCCATTATTATATGCCGCTACTCCTGTCTTTTTTCTCTCTGCACCGCCAAATTCCAATCTTTCAAGGCAGGGAGGGTGGGCCTTGTCAGGGGTAACTACACCGAAGCAGGCTTAAGGAGAACGCCCCTCGGTGGGAAACAAAAGGAAGTTCCTGTAGGACTCAGGAAGCTGGTATCGCTTATAAACCAGCCTCAGACTCTCCCATACCTTTTAGTGAGGTCCATCTCCGCCTGATCCCTCTTGCTAAGGAGCAGGTTTCGGCTGTTCTCAAAGACGTCTTCAATCTGGTCTGGCCAGAGCAGCAGAGTGCTGTTTAATTTGATGTCCTCCTCTGCAAAACACACGCAGCCCGCTTCAGGACGCTGCTCCATGTAGGTCAGAACAGAGTAGAAACTGGGGTGCAGTTCCGGTTCTACTCTGCAAACCGTTTCACCGATCCAAGTCTTGGGCTCCCTTTTGGTTAAATGTCAGTTAGTAACTTCAATGCCAGACGCCCTCCCCGTCTACAGCTCTGCCCAGTTGAGATGCCCTGGGACCCTCTGCAACCTGGGACTTAGCAGGCAGGGAGCACAGTGAGAGGCCAGTGTGTACACATGTGGCCAGGGGCATGACTCAGGAAGTGTGCGTGGGGTGGGGGGCCGGTTAGGGGGCTTTTCACTCTGGCCCCCATCTCTCCCTTCCACTGCCTTTCCCCACCAAACAGGTGAATACCAGGCAATTCACAGGTAATTCACAGGCAATTCACAGGTAACTCACAGGTAACTCACAGGTAATTCACAGGTAATTCCAGGTGGAAAGGGCTGGAAACTTGGCTTGTGGCAAGCACGTCAACTTTTCCTCCATAGCCTTGTCCTTGTGCATGCTAACTTGGCCCAACAGGCCTTAAAGGGGCTCTGGCACTTCTGTCCCTTCACGATATGCAGGAGCATGACGGAAAATGCCCCAGCATCCTCAGAGGGGGTTTGTATTAAGATTACGGATGAGTAACATCTACCCATTTATTTAAAAAAAAACAAAACAAAACACCTCTGCGTTTAGAAGTGACATTTCCAGGAACACCAGGAACAAGAGGCCAAGACAGGCATCGAAGGCCTAGTCAAGTCCCTGGAGTTTGCTCCCGTTCTAACAATCAGATTCCCTTTGCGTGATTCAGACTCTTGGGGATCAGAGCGTGGTGACTTGTGCCTCCAACATCTGGGAACCCTTCAGAGCCGCTCTCCTGTATTGACATTTAGTGGCAGGACTGATAACTCTCCTCCCTGCGACTCCTTTTCCCTAAAAGATTCGATACACACATACGCCTGTGCGCACGCATATGGCATCGCGCTTACGGGGCAGGTCTGCATAGTCCATCAGGAACTCCAGTCTCTCGATTGCGTCTCGGAGCTGCCTCCTGAGTTTGAACACGGTGACGTCGCTGGATTTCTTTAAGAAGTCGATGAGCAATACCAGCTCCTCCGTGTTGGAAGGAATCTCGCTGACTTTTTCTGCGATGTAGCTGTACTGATTACAGATGCTACAGGGTAAAAACAGCCATCACCGTCATCATCTGAAATAACGTTCTTACGAGACCCCATTATGCTAAACAGACGTGAGTCCTATTTGCAGACTAGAATGACGGTTTGACTTTTCTCTACCTGCAGACCCTCAGTGGGTGATGTCCTCACGCCCACCACACTTCAGTAAGAGCCGCAGGAACGGCAATGATATCTGACGTGGATTAAGCTCTTTGCCATGTGCCCCTCCCCATTCTAATCACTGAACATATATTAGCTCATTTAATCTTCACGACAGTTCTAAGAGGCTGGGATTATTATTATCGACAGTTTATAACGGGAGAAAGTGAGGCTGAGTAACTTTATCCAAAGCGACACGGCACGGGGGTGTCAGAGCCAGGATCTGAACCTGGTTTAATTGACTGCAAAACTCATACTCTTGACAAACATACGCTGAGTAGAATCCAGAGTTAGACCAAATGACAAGAAAACCACGGCTACCACCGCCAACCGCAATTCCTCAAATTTTATAAAGCGGATGCTAAATTAACGTGTCATCACGGCTCTTCAAAGCACCCCAGCAAGTTCATCCTCGTGTGGCGGGGATTCCTGGTGGCACAGAGAAATTTATGTCCAACTGCTGGGCCCCCAGATCTAACTGTCCACTTCTCCTCAAACACAAGACCATGAAAAATGGTGTTGCTATACAGAGAATTCAAATACGCTCTAATCCATACAAAGGCTAATGAATGGCATTCTTCAGCGTTTTAACTATAATTAGGAACAAATTACCTGCAGTACGTCTGTGTCTAGCACAGACTGGCCCTCAAAGAAAAGTTAGTAAAAACAGCTATCATCATTTTTGTTATTATGAATTGACTGTTACATGCTGATGATCATACACGATAGATAAAAAACATTCCTCTTGGTGTCTTCAGTCCTTGACACGCCTTCTTATTGTATAGATACCTCTCACAATGAAGCTAATTGTATTAAATTGGAGAAAATGATTAAAACACCTCTGGAGATAATGCTAGGATTTTAGAGAGAAATTTTTATAAAATCCTGAAACTTTTTATAGAGAAAAATCGAATGCACTACATGGGTTCAGAGTATTCTCTGCTTCTTGGACTCGGAGGCAAATAATATTTCTCAGCCTCCTTTGTATTTTCAGTTGGATATTTAATAGTCAGCTTGGGCTACCACGACAAAACGTCACAGGCTAGGGGGCTGAAACAACAGAAAGGTATCTTCTCACAGTTCTGGAGGCCAGAGGTCCAAGGTCAAGGTGCTGATAGATTTGGTTCCTGGCGAGGACCCTCTTCCTGGCTTGCAGACATCCGCCTTCTCCCTTGTGTCCTCACGTGGTGGGCGGCGCAGGGTGGGGGACCTCTGGTGTCTCTTCCTCTTCTCATAAGAGCACGACCCCACCGGACTAGGGCCCCATACCTGTGACCTCATCTCACTTCATCACCTCATTATAAAGGCCATCTCCAAATACGGTCACATTGGACATTAGTGCTTTGCTATAAACTGAACATCTGTGTCCCACCAAAATTCATATGTTCAAACCTAAGTCCTAATGTGATGATATCTGGAGGTGGCCTTTGGGAGGTGAATTGGCCCTGAGGTCTATGCCTCCATGAATAGGAATAATGCTCTTATAAAAGGGACTTCAGAGACCCCTCCCATCTTGTGTTCCATCTAAGAACACATGAGAAGATAACTATCCACGAACCAAGAAGTCTTCAAATGACACCAAATCTGCCAAAGGCTTGACCTTGAACTTCCCAGGCTGTACAACTGTGAGAAATAAACTTCTGTGGTTTATAAGCCACTCAGCCTATAATAGTCTGTTACAGCAGTCCGGACAAAGACAGACTTCAACATCTGAATTTGGGGAGGATGCAGGCACAATCATGTGACTGAGCTCCAGGCGCACACATAAAGCTGCCTTGCTTTATGTTCTTTTTTTGTCCCAATTGGCTAGGATGTCAACACTTAGCATGACCTCGAAAGCTACATGTTGAAGATCTAAAGTCGTCAACCTGTTCGAGTTTCTGAATGCTCACAGAAGGTCTCCTCCACCAACTGGGAGCTACCCTGAGCAAGAAATAAACTTCTATTGCATTCAGTCACGACATCTTGGGATCCATGTGTTACAGCATCTAGCCTCACCTAACTAAAGCAGGTAGACCCTCTCAGTGTGATGTACTCCTATCAGATGAGAGCCCATCCTTCTTTCCTTTCATATGAGACTGCATAGCATAAACATCGTGTGGCTATCAGCTTCTCGCGAGGGCCCAGAAGGGTGGGAGCAGACCTATCATCTACTTGATCCTCTAAAAGGTCCTGAATACAGGCCGATATCATCAGGAATCTGACCAACAGGGATAAGCCAAGGACAGCAAACAGCGCCTTCTACAGGTAGTGCTAATATCATTCAAAAATCTAAAGGCCAGAGGTCCCCTAAGCACACAGCTATTACATGCCTAGTGTAGGGGATGGCACAAGGGAGACCAGTAAATCTTGCACTGATCTATGCCCTCTTTCTACCTGTTGTCATCATCCGGACAAGAATTCTCACCGTGAAGCAAATGAGCAGCTGGACCAAAGGGATAACTTCGCCTGTCTCTCTGCTCAGGGCCCTGTATTTTTGGTCACTACTTCGGGTTATCGTTTGAGCGACTTGAGATCAATGTTCTTAGAGTGGCATGAATGGCATTGCCCACATTCCAAGGTGCCCCCTGCCTTTGTGCCCAGAGCACCCCATTCTAGGGTCCGCCTCATCATGGGGAACAGGAAGGCACCGCACTCAGCAGTAACAGGACAGAGAAGCGGCAAGGACAGGGTTTGGGATCAGAAGACTCGAATTCTAACTCACCTACTTAGGCAAGTTAGTTTTCCCGTCTGGGCCTCGTTTTCCCCCCCATTCAGTAAGGGGTCTCGTAACTGTCTTACCTACCTCATGGGGTTTTGAGGTGGTCAAGGGAGTCAGAGTCGCTCTTGTTAAGACAGAAAGAAACTTCACAACTCGGCCACTGACCTGGGGTTTCTGCATCCTTAGAAATCCCTGGGTTTGTAATGGGACCCTTAGTGCCACTTACATTAAAAAGGCCTAAGAAAATGATACGTGTATTTCGATGAGGATGGATGCAGTAACCAAACGAGGCACCACGTTGCTTTGATTGGACAGGAATGAATGCTCTGTTGCTTAGGAAAAAAACTTCTTGATGCTCAGATTTCCCAAAGAAGGTGTCTTAGGACTGTGAAGGCTGAAAATCTTTGACTGTCCTAGTCCCACAAAGAAACTGAAGATCTGAGGGGCGACCCCAGGGGTCAGGTAACCGGTAATTGGAAGGTCTTGGATTCAAAGTCAAGTCTGCTGGCTCCCAAACCAGGAGTCCCGCCATGTCCTCGCTCAGTGAGAACGCTGTGCGGCGGAGGAGGGCACGGGCTTTGGGGTTGGCATAAGCTAGGATAAAGCCTGGAGGTGCCACCTGCTAGCCCCTTGAGTCCCGACTTCTTCATCAACATAACGCGCTAGAGGAATGGTGGCTATCACTATCATTAATTTGCTAAGGAGTTTCTGACACGTATTTTGTAAACCTTAAGGTACCATGACATGCTAAAATTATTATACATATTTACACACACATGAATAACGTAACATGTAATGAGACAGCAACAGTGGTCGCCACGACTGCTGCCTCAGTCCGAAGTTCAAAGCCCTCTGGGGAAGAGGGCTAGAAGGATGCCGATGAACCGTGTGGTGACGTTCAGAGACACAGTAGCAGACCGCTGCTGCCCCAGCCTTGGCGTCGTCCTCCCTTCCTGTAACCACACCCCGAGTCTTCCTGGGGAGCCCCCTCTCTCGGTTCACATGGTCCAGGTAGGGCTGACATCCCCCTAGAGATGGAAACACCACCCAGATCTAAGCCACCCTTTTGGCCCCGGCATCGGTTTGATGTTGCACAAATAAGCCAGGTCAGGCCAGTGTCACATGGGTCAGGACTTTTGTGAGGCAGTTGGAAAAAGAGAAACTTTTTCTCCCCTCTGGATAGGAACCTGGGACGTGAGCCTGGAGCTGCTTGGCTCATGCTAGAGAGAGCCCGTCAGAGCAAGGAGCCGACGGAGGAAGGTGTGTGTGGGGCGGGGTGGGGGGTGGGGGATGGCCTGCATCCTAACTGCAGGGCCTAGGGTGGAAAGGAGCAGCTCCTGAGCTTTTAGACATGTGAGCCCTGACTTCATGTATTTTGATCAGTCTGTGTGGGCTTCTACCTGTCACAGTCACAAACATTTTGACCCTCATCCTTAAAATGAAGGTATGATATTGGGCTTAAGCCTGAATGACTGACTCCCCAGGCCTACGCTGCAGAAGTCGGCACGGGGGTGATTCTGAGGGGTGCCCGTAAGCACCCTGTGTCCCCGCGTGCACGCTAGATGATGGGTGAGAGGACCTGGGACCTCAGGCAGCCGAGCCCACGATGCAGCATCTTCCTAAAGCTGCCTGCGAGAAAGCTGAGGCCGAAGAGTCAGACGGCCCACCTCAGGACGCCTCCAGCCCTGCTCCTCCGGGCCACATGTGGTTTCCTGCCTGCTGTCCCGAACCAGAATTCCCTGCCACTGTCACACTGGGGCATAAGCAACTCGAACCACACATTCAGTCCAGTCACTGTTCTAAGGTGCAAGTTCAGGCTACTTTTCCATCCTCCCCGTTTGTGCCAAATGTCGCTGCTACTTTTCTGCACACATGAGGGTACCTGGTATTGTTGTCCCGGTTTATATCCACTTGGAATTGAATCAGACGGTCTTTAAGATTTTGGGCTCGCTCACAGAGTTCGTAATTTATGGTTATTGTGTCGAGGCAGAACATGGCCAAAGGCACGGAAATGTGCATGGATGCAATTTCATTTCTCCGCTTTTTTATGCTATTGATCATCTGTAAAAAGGAACATATTCAGTAGATTAATTCACCTTTGGCCTGTCTGCATCTGCCTGCGGCCTCATGCCCCACCCATCTGGTCCAATACTGAGCACAGGACATATTCTAACGAAACACACTGACAACTCATTGGATTGTCTGCAGCACACGTCACCAAGATATGAAATGGCAAGTGGCATCTCCTACCGTCACAAAATCGTCCATTTCATGATTTTCTTTCAGGAATGCAGTGATGTTTTGCTCTGCCATGTTATCCAATAAGTCATCATACTTTTTGTATACATTTAAGTATCTTCCATAGCAGAGAGCATAAAATGAAACATAAAAATACAGGTCACCAAATCAGATCAGTCAGAGTGGCAAATGAAGAGATAACAATATAAAAATTAACACAAACCAAGAAAGAGGAATATAAGGTGGCCAAAGTGACATTACACTGGGAATTCAGAACTTTGGCTTCGGAATTCTAATTGTGTTGCTTCCTAGCTGCATGAACTTGGACAAAAAATTGTTTTCAAAGGTCAATGCTTTTAATTTTAAGTGGAAATGATAGCATCTCATAGGACTGCTGTAAAGCCTAACTGTGATCATGTATATATAAAGCAATTAATACTGAGCCTGGCATACAGTGAATGTGCAACAAACATACTTCTTATTCCTTCTTCTAGCTCTAAAGTTCTATGTCTAAATTTTGTGATGAAAAATTAAAACTAACGAACCTAAAATTGATAGACTAAAATTAAGTTTCCCTCTGTCTGCTCACAGCTCATGCAAAAACAGCTGGGTAGATTCCCCCCAGATTGGAGCGTGTTTGGGATGCTCTGTCTCAAGATAAGTTCGAGTGAAAATAAAGGTGATATGAATGAGCAGAACTAACTGCGTGGGGCCCAGTGTAGACTCCCAGGGGGCTGATTTTGTCCCCAAGGGACATTTGGCCATGTCTGGGGCCATTTTTGTTGTCACAAGTAGGGGGAGGATCCTACCAGCATCCAATGGGTAGAAGCCAGGGATGTTGCTAAAAATGCACAGGACAGCCTCACGATACGGGACTTTCTGGTCTAGAAGGTCAATGGAACCACCTCAAGCAGTGCTGGGTTGGGGTGACCACACATCCTGGTTTGTGTGGGACAGTCCAGGTTATACCCGTTGTCTCACGGTGACTGCTAATCACACCTGCTTCACCCTCAAAGCATCTCAGTTTGGAAGCTGCATTCTGTGGTCCCCCTACGCTCATGGCTGCTCACGTGAACAGCTGTGGGATACTCTACAGTGTGATGACAAAGGAGCACTCAGGTCGCCTGTCTTCCATTCCCTTTTCTTTAACCCCTAACTCCAAAAAGATCTAAAAACAGAACATCACTTCGAAATCCATTTGAGAGCAACAGCTGCCGTAAGGTGATGTGAGGCTGGCTATTCATGGCTCTCGCCGCAGAAATACCAGTACGTTTAATGAAAGGCTGCTGCCCCTGACCTTGCTGAAACTACAGCACGACACGTAATACATGCATAATGTTACTTTTCTGAAAACCAGAAATTTCTAAATGCAGAAAGCCGTCCGGCCCAAGGCTTTCAGATAACGAAGGTGGACCTGTCACTGAATCTGCATTCTGGTTCTCGCTGTGTCAAATTAGGAAACTTACAGTTTCCTCATCTGTGAAATGGGATAAGTAGTAATACCCTTGCGAGTAAGTACTGGCTATTGTTATGTATTGTTTCGGGTGTGTGGGAACAGGGATTGTCTACTGAACGATGGTTAAGAACTCTAAACCGAAGCCACAAAGGCTAACAGAGTCACGACTTACTTGTGGGGGCCAACTTGGTTTTTCTGAAATACCTCGAAAGTTTGATCTACGAAATCGGAAACCAGATTTTCTTCAGGGTTGACGGTGCGAAGGATCAGATTATAGCCTTTCAACTCTGGGAACAGGATAGACTCCACCTAAAGGGTAGAAACCACTTTTGGATGTTGCAAGACGTGCACAAGACACGAGAAGGGAGATGCACCAAGATGCGACAAAGTCATCTCCAGGGCACCAGCTGCATCCCCGCTCCATCTTTCCTTGGGGAGAGGGCTCTCTCTCTCCTCCCTCTCCAAGGACCCTTCATCTTTCTAGTCCCCGCCCCTGTCAAGTCTCCCATCTGTCGGCGACTCTCCCTGGGCCCCCAGTGGGGGTTCTGCGCTCAGCGCTCATCACAACTGTCATGAAATGTTCTAGGTTTGCCATGGGATACAAATACCATGAGGACCTGGACCACGGCTGACTTCATCTCTATGGTGATGGGCCCAACAAGAGCTTGGAGCATGGTAAGTGCTCAATAAATACTGTGTGAGTGAATGAACATTACAGTGGTGCCCGCCTCCACTGCCATCAACTTTTTCTACTGGAGACATGGGTTCTAATCCCGACTCTGCCGCTGACTATGTGACCTGAGGTCAGCTAATTCTCCTCTCTGGACTTTTGTCCAGAGAGGAGATAGACTAGATTCTTTTCTCAGCTGGGGTGAGCGGAGGGAAAGCAATGGTTTTATGAGGCATGACTAGTAATACTCTTCCGAAAATCCCAACCACTACTTCTCAACGGCATGTGTGTGTCTCTGAGAAATGTTCTTGTCTGCATGGCTCGTGAAGGCTGCAAAGTCCCTCTTGGGGACCAGCTGCCGTCCACATCCCTGTCTGCTCAGGAAGTCCTTGGTGATCGGTGTCAGAACAGACCTCAGAGCGCTTTGCTGGGTCACGCCGGGTATGTGCTGTTGATGAGAATATATCCGTTTCAAAAGGGGAGAGAGCAAGTGCCACCGACGTGTGCGTCCCTCTTCGCTCCATCCCTGGCCCTCTGACTGAGAAGATTCTCCCGCCGGGAAGGAGACTGGCCTGAGCAGCCCTTTCTAGAGTCACGTAGTTTTCCGACTATGAAAGTAATGGCAGCTAATGCTGCTTTCAATTCTACTTACTGCATTTTCGGTTTTGGAAAATCCTTCCATTACCTCATCCAGCTTCATTTTTTTTTTTTATGCTTCTCATGCACCTCTTTTCATTTCAACCAGTATTAAATCAGTACAGCATCCATGTCTTTCTCAAGTTTTTTTTTTTTTGCTAATATTTTCTAATGTTTGCTTTGGTTTCCTTCAGTAACTTTCTCACAAATATGCTTTCCTCCTGCTATTTGCATACATCTCAGGCTGACTTTTCTTCCCACTTTTAAAGTCCGTATTTAACCGTAAAGGCAGCAGGACTGGTAGGGGATGGGGCGTACCGTCCGCCCGTTGCCTTTCTTTATTCAACCTGTGGGACTGTTTCTTGAAAATGTCACTTCTCCGTTCAGAGACAAACGTCAGAGGGGCTTGCGGGGGTCGGGGGTGGAGGGTGGACAGGAGCAGCGCTGTGCATATCTCCAGGTGGAGAACTCTGGGTCTGGGCTCCTTTCTCACAGTCTGCTGAAGCCATTGGCATTCACTTGGGCCTGGCTTTCGAACCTGGTCCAAACTGTGGCCCATGACCACGGGGCCCTGGCATTCCACTCCATGGTATCTACCACCAGCCCTGGCTGGGCTGTTGGCAGCAGCAGCCACAGGGCCCTGGGCTCTCCAGGCCAAGCCGCTCGCAGACATTGTTGGTGGATAGCAGTGAAGGACAGGTCGAGCGGCGTGTCCTTGATCTGTTCCCAAGCCCCACGCTTACCCTCCCGCATCACAGGCTTCTCTCCCACCCGTTCCTAGGGCTGCTGATTGCAGGAGAGCTGCCCGCTGCTCTTCTCCTCGCTGAACCAGGATTGGTTCAGTTCAAAATCTCAAATGTGGCGTTCGCTGGTAAAAGCGGCTGGAGCACCTGTGTTCACACGCTTCCCTACAAACCCCAGATCGAGTCTCGAACCCTTAGCGCCCACCCTCTGAGTCAGAACCGCAGAGAGAAGCGAGCTTCGGGGCAGCTGCGCACCACACGCGATGCGTGGGGTGGGGAGAGTCACCCCACAGGTCGCCTCCCTGTGTGGGGTGCACCCGAGCCCCCTTGCCACACCCGTCATTCAGAGGAAACTAGAGGGAGTCAGCGCACAAAGCGTCACCTCGTCACACTCAGGTGCGGGATCTACCCGTCCTAAGATTCTGCTAACGGGTGTCTGTCATCGGACTGGGAATGCCACGCCACCTTGGAGAGGAACCTGGAAAGGGCTTGGGCCCAGAGGGGAGGCTTCAGTCTCTCCCCCAGACGCCTATAGTGGCTAAATAAACAAACACGCAGAATGTCAAGAGCCAAACTAGATACGGGTTTATGACAATTCTTGGCAAGTTCATGGGCGACCGCACCACTGTGAATTATCAACCAAAGCTGTATATGGCTTGGGTCACATCTGCCCCTTTGAGGCTGCCATCGTGGGCAGGGACTCTCCTCTCTCACCCAGTAACTCTCAATGCCCCTGTCAGAAGCACAGTTCCGGGATGCCTGAGTATTTCTTTAAGGCCCAAATCCTCTTTCTGGGGTTCAGGGGGTTGCGCTCAGCCATCTTAAATCTGTTTTATGCAGTAAATCAATAGAAGTACAAACAAAGATTAAGCGGATACGATACCTTGGGGATCCCTTCAGAGCTCTTGATAATTTCCAGGAAAGAGTCACGTATTAATTCCCAGCAGCTATCAAAAGATGGATTGAAGACAATATTGGGTTCACTGACTTCAAGTTTGATCATGATTAGTTGAGGTATAAAGAACTCCATCTCTTGATAAGGCTCCTTGAAATCATTCCCATCCTTCGGAAGACATAAGAGATGACACCCGTCACAAAATGGGGCCTTCCAGAACCAAGGGCATAGATTTTACTCACTCACAGTACTACGTGAGCACCGTGAGCACTGCCAAAGGACATGAAAGGCAGGCTGCCCCGTTCATATTTAAAACAAGGGCCAGGTATGGCTTGGCCCGCCCTGAGCTTGTTCTTCCCCAAAATTTGTTGACTGAATCCAGATATGTAAACAGTTATCTGTCTACTTCAAAGACAGTTGCTAATGAGCGTGCAGTCTATTGTAGACGCTCAAAACGTCAACCTCTCTACAAGAGTCGTGAACTGGCGTGGAGCCATCTCTCTACGCGGGATGGTCGTGCAAGGTACCGTCATCAATGATGGTGCCTGACGAAAGGCACTCGTCTAACGAGTTGCTTTTAGACATATTTAGAGCTGTTTAAGGATGGCTGGCAAACATTTGCTGTATGCCTACTATGTGTCAAATACCTATCCATTTCCGCTTCTTTTAGACCTATGAAGATTTTCTTTTTCCCTCTGTGTGGGATCTCAGAGTGAGATCTGTTCCCACATCTGAGCCTCTTCTGCTTGGCCGAGCAGAGGGTTGCAGCGACGCCGATGGCCTGGTCCTCATTCAAGCTAACGCAGCAGTCTAACTTTAGCAGCGTTAGTTTTTATACTTTTTGAGCCAAACGGTCGATTGTTCATCTGTATTCCATTTGGAAAAACGCTTAGAACTTAACCGTTCATAACCAGGCCAATTAAAATTGTTGTTACTCTGTTTAAGGTAAAATCTCCCCATGGTATAAAACCCAGAAGGATCTTCCTTGATCCCAAGGCTACCTAAGCTTAGGGGATGCTGGGATGCTTTGAAAACCAAGTCTTAGTGTTTTGGGTTTTTATTTCAACTTCACTGAAGTAGTTTCACGAAGTTATTAATGAGGTCAACAAAAGTCTTTTATTCTGAGGGATACCCCTTTCAAAGACAGAACAAGAGTCTGTACCTGCCGTGATACACACGACACCCCCTGAACACCACGCCAAAGGCTGATAATAAAGCCTTTTCAACCCCTTCCTTTAACAGAGAAGATGAAAAAGCGACCACGCCTCCTACTGTAAGAGGCATGCATTTCATCTTATTCAATCTTTATTTAAATGTTCTTAACTTCTCCACTCCTGTAGAGTTCTATCAACTTAGTAGTAGGTAATCGTCTTGGGAAAGCGTGCAGCGTGTGCCCAGAAATCACTTTTTTAAACTAATAATAACCTGATGTGTGTGTGAATCGAGAATTTTACAGCTGAGGACCCATGTGATGGAATCAGTTATTTCCCCTGAAAAGGGTTGCTTCTGGCCTCGATTTACCTTGTGTATCATGAAAAGGGAAACGAGGTCCTCGAGAGACTTAATGACCAACTTTCGGAGCTGGAGTGCCATGAAGGTTGCAACTGAAGCAAAGTATTCCTCGACGTTGCGAGAGGGGTCAAAGTCGCTCTTGGGAGCGAAATGGATCCACTGCTCCTTCTGCGAGATGAACAGCTTGGCACAGGTGGGGATCCACCTGTAGAGACAGGAGGGCATCCGAGTGAGAACCTCCGCCGAGCTCCAAGAAGTCTCCTCAGCCATTCCCTGCTCCCTGTGACAAAAGAGATGGCGAATCTCCCTCTAGGTGGCTTTGCAGATCAGTACTTCCGCAGTCCCAGCCACCTCGCCTGCCAACACCCCTTTCCTGGGAAGAAAGTGGTAAGGTTTGAATTGAGAGATTATCCTTCCGTCAGTGATAACAAAACACGGACAGGGGTTACTGGTGACACGTCCTCCTGAAAGAGTCTATGTGTTTTTCATTACAACCAGAGATTGAAGTGAAGGGGCAAAGGAACTGGAATGTTCTATGAAGCTTCTCTCCCCAGCAAAGGCCTGGCCTCTGATTCAGACTTTATAGGAGTAAAGAGAGGATGAGGAGGAAAGGAGGAGAACTTGGGAAGAGGAACTCCCGTGTGGCCAAGCTGTCCGGACGTCGAGAGCAGAAATGAGAAAACCGGAAGAAGAAATGGATGCCTCATCGCTCCTTTCTTCCTACTTCCCCCGATTTCTAATTCCCTGTGGGAGCCACTGGCCTTTTCATCCTATCGCATTTCCTTTCTGATTGCTAGAAAACTACTAGACTAGCGATCAGAGAAGTACTAGCCATAGTCATAGTCCTAGAGGTAATAACTGTGACATTTATTGAGCAGTTACTATGTGCCAGCCACGACATTTTTATATAAATATATATTTATTCTCTGATAATAAAAACCCACTGGGCAGGTATCATCATCATCATTTTACATAAGGGAATTTCTCTGGCTCTGGATGCGGTCCTGCATGCATTTGCAAAGAAAAAGGAATTGTCTAAGTGACCAAATACCCTCGAACCTTGGACCCTTGAGGCTGTTTACCTGGGCCACCCGAACACAAGCCATTCAACTGCATTGTCCTGTAAGGCCTTGAGGATCTCAGAGGAGGGGAATGGAAGTGGTACCCTCACAATGAATGGTAATGAGTGACTTTGAAAAGGCAGAGAGACACCAGGAGGGGGCGCTGAAGGGCAGGGGATGTAAGGAGAAGCAAAGGCTGTCGGGGATGGGGACGGGAAGAAAGGGGACAGAGAAAGATGCGAAGTCGGAAGAAAGATGCGAAGTCGGAAAACTGTGCCACCCTTGGGGTGAGAAACCAGTTTCCACTTCAGGGATTTTTCCATCTTTACGATGCTGTGAGGCAGCCTCGGTCCGAGGCCAGATACTGACTTGTTGAGAAGGATCTGGCGTGCTTCCAGGCAGTGTTTCCGGATCACGTCCTGATACTCGTGAGGCTGCAGAGGCAATTTTCCCTCCAGTATTTCTGCTGTTCGAACAAACCTGAGGTCTTTAAATCTGCCGAGAGAGAGAGAGAAAGAGAGAGAGAGAGAGAGAGAGAGAGAAATGACTCGAGCTGAGACAGCACTTAATAACACATTGGTAGGACAGGCTCAAAGGGTGTATCTTCTCATTTTCCCATGAGAGGAGATTTAAACAGATCAAAACTAAGTATATCTGAAAAATCTGGAAGTCTGAGGAAGGAGCGGACAGTCTGCAAGAACTCTTGGGAAAAGTAGGTAAACGAGCCAACTCAACGGGTGTTTACTGACCCTGCCCATGTGCTGGGCTCTAGGTGTTCCATCTGGGGAGGAGGATTTGGGCACCAACTTGGTATTTGGCTGGCTAAGAACTGGGATATCAAATGGGACAAATCGAAGTTATTTACGACAGTGAAGACACTGGGGACGTGGCGAGCAAAGCACTATCTGCATGACCACGTGAGTTCTTGAGCTACCTGAGACCAGTTGGCGGATGGCTTTGGTCTGAACCCAAACACCCCTACAGCCCTACCCCGGCCATGGGCATGCTCACTGAGATACATACAGCCTCCTCGGGCACAGCGCCTGCCAAGACGCTGGCGTCCCGTGAGCATTTGGTAAATGGACGTGTGCATCTCTTTCTGCCTTTTCCTGTGACACCCTTATCTTCTCTCTCTCTCAGATCGGGGGATGAGCTGCCCTTCACTTCCCGAGGCCTCTTTTAGCTCCTAGGGCCACATTTCTCTTCCTGACATCTATTCCATTCATTTATAAGTCACTCTTTTAAGTCATCAATCCAGCAAGATCTCTGCACACTCTTTTAGCTTGTCTCAGGTCTGGCTTCTAATTTTCATCACCCACTCGAATGGCCTATTGGGCACTTTTCCTCTCCCGCCTAAAATCCTGCAGCCTACATTTCTGTTCCTTTTTGATAGATGTGGTAAACTTAGTCTTCAGTTTGTCTGCTTGGTCACAAAGCACAGCTAGGGAAGGACAGAACCCAGGGACCTCACTCACCATATCCACTGATCTCCAAGGCCAGTGTGGCCCTTGTCACCACCTGGTAATTCTGTCACATATGTTTAATTGAATCCTAACGAACTTCTCAAAGTGGCCGGAAAATCTAGTCTTTCTTCAGATCGCCACCCTCATTCTGTCCCCTAAGCTTCTCACCCTTCACCGATGACTAGGTGGCCACTTAGAATGTTTAAAGTTAAATAGTGCAGGTCACGTAAGAAAATTACTCTGTATCACTTCCTAAACCAACCTTTCTCGGTGCTGATTTTTCAGTTCAGCTGACAAAAATCTTCTAAAGCAGCAGTCCCCAACCTTTCTGGTACCATTACCCCCAATTTAGAGATGAAGAAAGCAAGGCACAGAGCGGCGAGGTAACACACCCATATCACCCAGGAACCCACGAAGTGGTGGCGTTAAGATGTAGATCTGAGCAGGCCGGCTCCACACCTGTGCTCTTTCTTAACCGGTATGCTCCGGTGCTTAGAGACATGGGTGCCGGGAGAGCACAGAGAGGTCACTGACAGTTCACGCGCCTGATCGGGTTAGGGCAGGGCTGTGCCACCGCGCCCAGTGCCAGATGCTCTCCTACGTGTGGAAGCGATCAAGCGGGGAGAGGGGGCCAGAGAGGCCTTTCTTACTCTGCAAACCACAGCTCCTCCAGGCTGAGTATCATGGGGTTCACCGTGTACAGATGCTCCTCGTTCCACTTCTTGGCGTTCCTGTAGCCACTGTGCCAGGGCACGGGGGCCCGGATGGCCCTCTGAGGAAACGCACGGGGCACGCTCTCGATGAAGAGTCTCTTTCTCTCCATGGGGTCCATGAGGATGTAATCAACTGTAACCGACAGGGCACACTCTGTGTTAGGCAGGGACGCTATGCACCTGTGCTCTTAGCTTCAACCTGAGAAGGTCCACGGCCTCTGTCCACTTATACCTGGAGATGCTCCCTCAGGGACAAGGCCGTTGACAATGCCCTGAGTGTAATTGAAATCGGGGCAGTGCCACCCTGCTGTTTTGGGGTTTCCTTCTGAAGCTATTTCGGGGGAAGGAGGCAGTCACTTCACAGACCCCAGAGAACCTGGGGTCGAGTCCTGTCGGGGTATCTAGCATCGTGCATGGCAATGTGCCGCTGCCTCATCGAGTGATTTCTCACACCAAAATAGTTGCACGGAAAAATCAACGCAATGGGTGACACCAGCTACTTATGAAATTTAGAGACCAAATATTTCACATGCTAAAGAAAGAAAGACTGGGAAAAGCTTCGCGGGAGAAGTAATGGTTGAGCTGGTCTTAACGGACGGGTAGGAATTCGGTATGAGACTCTGAGGGGAGGATCACTGGGGCAGGAGAAGCGGCACGTGACGAGGCACGCGCGGCCCCATGACTTCCGCACGCCGTGCTCGGGCTGCTGAGTCATCCTGTGGCAGAAACGTCAGGTGGAGCCGGTAGAGCGCAGAGCGCCAAGACTGGAGAAGAGGTCGGGTTGGGATTTGAAGGGCTCTGCGTGTTCATCTTCACCTGCCTGGTTCTACCCGGCAGTCGACAAGGAGCCGTCACACTGAGGCCGTTAGAAAGTCAATTGGGAAATTAAAAATATCTAGACAAGCTGCTAAAGATAGCTGCTGTCCAGATGCGACAGGAAGGTCTCAGGGAACTAAGATGACCTCGCTCCTCCTTTGATGTGTTTCTCACATGGCTCACTATCGTCCAACAGTTCCCAGTGACCCACGGTGAGCACAAGACACGGGGCCAAGGACAGAGGGGCGTGAGGCTCAGTAAGATGTCCTTTACCACCGAAGGCTGAACAGTCCAATAAGGAAGCTGAGACCCGTGAGAAACGCAAAGACAAGGCCCGTCTTAAACAACGGCAGAGAAACAGTGGCACAGAGGAGCCGAAGCTGGACGAGTCGAGAGCAGAGACGAGAAGGGCGCTAAATGCAGGGGACGCGGTGACCGCTGAGGGTTGTAGAGAGACAAAAACACTTGAGAGAAGAGGCGGGCACTGAGCGAGGTTTTAAACTTCAAGCGGGCCCTTGCCACTCATGGTATCGCCCCCAGGTGAGCAGATCTGCTGCCTCACCTGGGAGCTTGTTAATACTATGCAGGGTACCAGACCGCCCCAGACCTGCCGCATCAGAAACCGCATTTTAACCAGCCCCCCGGGTTTGTGGATGCAGATTAAAGTGGAAGCACTGTTTGCAGACACAGCTGATGGTCGGGGAGGAGGGGGGCGTTTGAATTAAAAAGTTAAATGACGTTTTCGGCATTTTTGGAGGAACCAGGGTAGAGGACCGATAGTGGGAGGAAAAAAGGCGCCCTCCGCATGGGACCCGCGCCCCCCCATTTCTGCCGAACCTCACCGATGCTCTTCTTGAGGCTGTTGTAATAGTCATTCTCCTTCTCCTCTATGAGGATGGTCATCAGGGGCTCCAGCGAGGGGCTCGTCAGCAGCGCGTTTGAAATCAGGTTTGAGACCCGAACCATCACTTCACTCTCCTCCGGGGCAATCATATCTTTTCGGATTCCGTGGGTCAGGTAGTAATAGTATCTCTTCCATAAACAAACCACCGGGAAGAAAATGGTCATGACCGGCGAACAGTGCCCACCTGCACCCGCCCGCAGCTGCCGAGGGGCCCCATTTCCCCAGCACCCACCCCCACCCACCCATCATGCTCTGCAATCACGCCTTCTGGGCCTGTGACTTCACGCTCAGTGCTCTAAGATCATTGGTACGTTTTCCCCGAGACTCTGGAGGGTTCAACTAAAGCCAGCGGGATCTCAGCGGGGTGAAAGGAAGGACTTGTCAAATGGAGACAGGAGCAGAGGAGTGAGCACTGGGGCCAGGGACGAGGCCGCGTAATCAGATGAGTTTTAAATAGGAAAATAATAAGCAATGGTGGAGACTGAGACATACTGGAGAATGCATTTCTCATCTAAAGGAGACGGCTACTTCTCAGCTTCAAATATCTTAATTTTTTCAAGAGAGGTTAGAAATTTAGCTTCTGTGAGATTTCCTTTATTTTCAAAACGCATCTATAGGCCAAATTCAGCTTCTGGTAGGGTTGCCAGATAAAATACAGGACATGTTGAGACACACTTATACTAAAAAATTATTCATTTTTTCAAATTTAACTGGGTGTCCTATTTTTCTGTTTTGTTTTTGATTTTCCAAATCTGGCAACCCTAGCCTGCAGGTCACCATTTTGCAACTGATATTCTAAGAGGACCTATAGGCATCGATTTCTAAGACTGACTTAGAACAGAGAATTCACACACACACACACACACACTCACTCACTCACTCACTCTGGACGTCTGGACGTTGGTGACTCTGCTATTTAGAATCACTGAGATGCCAAGAGCGAACGGGGGGAAAGGAAGCAGCAAGCCTGTACCTCCAAGTCTGATTCAGATGGCTTGGGTTCCTGACTTTCAATTTCCATCTCCTTCTGTAACATGACACGAATCTGTTCTTCAGGACTCATTGGTCTGCTTCCTGGGGCGGTCGGAGAGGCCACCACCTCCTTCTTCAAGAGGCAGGACATTGAGGTGTTGCAGACCAACTTGATTCTGAGAAGATGACACAGCTCAGCCCTGGGCTCCGTGCAGGGGTGCTGTGGGGTCAGGCCTACTTTCTCCAACCAGCGAGTGACCCCCTGCACTAGAAGCCCCTCTCCTCCATGTTGGCTAACAGTATGGTGTGTGTGGACTTCAGTGACGACCTCTAACCACGGAACACCTCATAGGTGCATTAGCATTGGTTTCGCTCAGTTGGTTAGCTTATGTTTATTTAGAGCCTAAAAGTTTTTAGGATTCAGGGGAATCGAGGAAAAACTCCACCGGTTACTGAGTGTCTGGGAATGCTCTGAAGCCGAGAGGCAGAGCATGCCCCCAGTGAGACCACAGCCCTCTTTGGTTCAGCCTGGTGTCCTGAAATCCCGTCCCCACAGCGGCACCTTACCCGGTGAGATCCTCTTTGCCTCGGGGAGAGAACTTCATTTTCTTCTTGTTGGGTTCAGCTGAGCTTTTAGTTGCTAGAATCGTGGAGAAGACAGACATCAGTGATGGGCAGTGGCCTCGGACCGCCCTCTGTCCGCAGGATGTGACTCTCAGGACAGTCCAGGAGCATGTTAAAGGGGTGGGCTTGGTGCGGCAGGGTGAGGCGGGAGACGCAGGCTCCGGTCCCGCCTGTCCCACCGACTACCGGTGTAGCCCTGAGGAAGTGACTTTATCGCTCCAGGCCTCGGCTTCCCCAGCCATGGAACAAGGATGGGCACACACACCTTCCATAGTCATCTATTCGTTTGGTGAGTGTTATAACGTAACTGCCTTCTCAAGTCACTCCCAACCCTGTACGCTGTTTTCTTAACGTCAGGTCTATTCATGTTTCAGATTTTTCTTTCAAAAAAACTCAGACTTTTACACTTAATATATTTATTTTAAAGGGAATATTATATGCTTATCGCAAATAGGAAAACCAGTATCATTTGCAATAAATATAATTACTGCAAATAGAAAAACAGTATTATTTGCAATAAATAAACAACAAACTACAAATAAATCCAATAAATGATATAAAGCTCTATTATTAAGCTCTAACTAAGATACTTTTTCTTAGGCCTCTAGTCTAAGGAAATGAACAAGCGGTAGAGAAGTGTTAAAGACATGCTAATATTAAATTGACATTTCGAGAGAATCAAAGAGAACTGAAGACTCGAGATATATTTCGAATTCCTACTTTGAGCTCCTAAATCTACTGCTAATATAACAGTAACGAACAAAATTCTCGTTAAAAATTAAAAAAACAAAACAAAACAAAAACCACTGCATTGTTCCACAAGACGCTCTTGTACGTGGACCAGAAATAAACACAGGGTGAAGCAAAAGTCATGACAGTGGCTTCTGGGTCCAGGGCGGGCAGAAGTAGGTGTTCGCTTCCTGGGGGAGCGATAGGATCCAGGAGCACACCATGCTTGTGGGGAGCTGGAGCTAAGCTCATGGCATAAATCCAAGGCTACAGCGAGCCTGCTCTACCCGTGAAGACAGGCTGAAGATTCATCAGCACCGTCATGCAGATAAATCACATGTATCCTCCACTCACATGGTGACCAGAGACGGCAGAGAAAGACTGATCATTATTGGCCAAGCCCCACACTGCCTCAGAAACCAGATCTACGAGATCCCTAATTATCACCAAGCCACCAATATAAGATCTGGTACTTACGTGGGGTCCTAAGAGGCCAGGTGAAGGCATAAGGGGGAAAAAAAAAAAAAGCTAGATTAAGAAGGATCAAAAGAGTACAACCAGTGTAAATATGATTACGTTTATATGTGAGACCGAGCAAAACTAACCAGTGGTAACAGAAATCAGAAAGTGGCTACACTGGGGTGGGATGGCGTTGGGCAGGGGTAAGAACTGATTGAAAAAGAACACACGGGAGCTTTCTGTAGTGTCAGAGATGCCCCGGCTCTCATTAGAGTGATGGCTATATGGTATAAAGAGTGGTCAAAACACACCAAACCGAATACTTAAGATCGGTGCCTTTCACCGTGTGTGAATTATATACCTCAATAAAAAACGAGGTGGACGCATGCAGCAACACGGGAAAAGACTCTCAACACGAGATTGCCAACTAAAACCCACGAGCGCATGAGAAAAACCACTACTGAAAAAAGTAGCCAATAAAGTCAACAACCAAGGATTAGATTTACAAGTGGAAAAAATACAGCAATACCAATATTGTTCCAAAAGAAACGTTTAAGTTTCTCCAAGTGATACAGAAAGGGCTATGCCCATAAGAATAGAATGAGAAATAGGCGGGCGGGGCACCTTTAAGGAGGAACAATTAGAAAATCTGAAAATGAAAAGATATTGTCATTAAAACAAAAAACACTCATTAGACATGATAAACTCAAGACTGAACAGAGTTGAAGAGCAAATGACGGAATCAGAAGATATAATTGAAAAATTCGCCCAAATACAGCACAGAGAGAAAAATGATAAAGTAGGAGAAGTGTGAGATAAAGTTTGAGAAAAACTCAAAATAGGAGTTTGATACAGAGGACAGACTGAACAGCTCTAACATACATCTAACAAAAATTACTAAATACCCTTAGGCAGATACGTGTGAACCTGGGAGGGAGAGGGGTTAAATAAATTAATACGTATGAAGTACCATGGTCAGCAGCTTCCGAGATGGCCCCGATGACCCCCACTTCCTGGCATCCTGCCCTTGAGAAATCCCCTTGAGTGTGGGCTTGGCCTACCAACTCGCTTCTAATAGACAAAATATGGCAGAAGTGATAAAACGACCCTTCCAAAATTAAGTGCCAAGAAGATTGCAGTTTCTGTCGTGCTGGCTCTAGTCTCTCTCTTGCCCTCTCCATTGCTCCCTCTGAGGGGAGCCAGAAGTTACGTCATGAACTGCCCCATCCATGGAGAGGCCCCCGTGGCCAGAAACTGATGGCTACGGCCCAACAGGCAGCAGCAACCCGAGGGCAGGAGTGGGCCTGGAGGACGATCCTTCCCTAGTGACCTTGGCCTTGGCTGACACCTTGACTGCTTGCCTGAGAGAGACTCTGAGCCAGACCCACCCAGGTGAGCGCTGTCCAGGGTCCTGACCCGTAGGAACGCTAAGATAACACGTGATGGTCGTTTTACACCGTGAAGTTTGGGGGTGATTTGTTACACAGCCATCCGGTGACGCGAGCGCATAAGGAACAGTGCTTGGCGCGTGGTGCCGTAAGGTCTGCGGGACGGGAAATGTAGTTTCCCGTCTCCTCATCACAAACGGATGAGGAGACTGAGGCTCTCCATGGTAAGCCACAGTCAGCGCAGCGAGAGGTGGAGCCAGGACCAGACCCCAGGATCTCACTCCAAAGCCCCATGCCGAGCCAAGCTCGTAGGGCGCACCGCCACGATTACCTGACGGCAGCCCCTGGACGAGCCTTTCCCTGGGGACGTTGACGGTGACTGGCTGGTAGACCTTCAGCAGGTCCTTCAGCTTCAGGTCCTGGGCTGTCAGGGAGTAATTGTTGGCGATGGAGTCACTGGGCCCACGGTGGTGCTGCTGCTCTTTGAAGGGCGCAGCCAGGGTCCACGACGTGCGTTGCATGAGCGGGGGGTAAAAGCTGTGCGACATGACAGTCTACGAGGGAAGACACGCAGAGAGGGGCACGATGAGGGGCGCCTCCTGCAGAGCCGGGGCGCGGAGGGGCCCGGGCTGTGCTTGCGCTGAGTCTCACGGAGGCCCACGAGCCCTGTGCTGTTTTTTTCTACCTTCCTCACACTCGGCGCAAATCCTTCCTGAGCGCACACCAGGTGTGCTTCTGTGACCACTGTGAGTGTGATCTCTGATGTCAAGGACAATAGCTGGCTCTCAGGAAAGAGCAAGTTTGTGTGTCAGGTAATTGGCTTCTATTGTCTTTATTCCTCACGGACATGGCTCTAAGGTAGAAAGAATGGCTCTCGCTTTACAATCGAAGATGCGGAAGTTTAGAGAGTTTAAATAACACAGCAGGACAATGGAGACACCAGGCTCTAACTCACCCCTGTGCTACTGCATAGCTCTTTCTGCCTCACCGCTGCGGCTCTTCCTGGTGGCAGAAATGACCAAAGCCACTAATCCCACTTGTCGAGTCTTGACTGTTCCTGCTCCCCGCTTCCCCCGCCCCCGCAACGATACCAGCAGAGGAGCAGCAGCCAGGACAACATACCTGATAGAGCTCGGACGGTTCTTCGTTAGCAGAGGCGGGCAGAGGGGGCAGCTCCGGCCGCATCTGGGAGTGGCTCATGTGGTGTATTGAGTCACTTTTGGGGATCTGTGGGAAAATGGAAACAGCCACTCTTTAGGGATTGGGGAAGACTGCCAAGCCTGTGAGTTGGTGAGGAGCAAACAGGTCTCCTGGGAAAAGCTTTGGGCCCAGAGTTCTGCACGCAAAACATCTTTCTCAGCCCCATCGACTGTGTAGATTTCATTTTTTTAATCGACGAGCTGTCTCTCCTCCAGCATCTCTTCCTTGGCGATCCCTCTATGAGCAAATCCAGATATTCCCCTACACACATCCCAAGATGAGCCAAATGCTGAGGATACCCCCAGCTACTCTACCCTGTGTTGCAGTTAAAGGGGTTGACTTTAACAAAAGTGACTCCTGCACTCCACATATACAAAATCCCAAGCAGAAATTTGCTCATGCAGTGGCACTGTGTTTTGTGTGTGTTTAACACACACGCACAAGCAACTCTGCCCTTCCTGTGAAAAGAAAAAAAATCATTTAAACATGTGGGTGTCTGAGTCCACCATCCTCAGCGAGTGTGTACTTGGGAAGCAGGGCTGAACCTGTGGCCACCCTCAGCGCCCAAGTGCCTCTCCTGAGCAGAACCGAACATGACGCGGCGTTGAGTGATGCTGCCTGCGCTCCTTCCAATGACCCGGCCACTAGATGCAAGACGGCTACTTCACCTGGGACAGTGACAGAGAGACTACAGTTTGTGCCAATGCCTGAGCAAAACTGATGGGCCAAACTCCCTGGGAGGCGTTGCTGAACAGCATGTTAAAGACGGTTTAAGGGATTTTCGAGGACAACTTTGGCTCTCTCTGATTTTTCACCTGCAGTCAAGGAGGATGTTAATGTCATTCAGGCAGTGACTTCGGACTGCACTCCTGTGTCAGATGAGGCTATTGGATCAATCTGATTTACTTTAGTTGGCAAACGTCATACGGGGTAACTGGCGATGGATAGAGGGGCGGCAGGTATATGAATCAGATGTTAGCCACCCTCATGCGCCAACCAACCCCTCCACCTTCAACGTGATGAGTTTGAGACCCGCAGACCCTATCGTTTTTCAGCTTAGAGAACTTGCTTGGTTGATTTAAATCACTGAGTCTGTCTCTCTGCTCTTGACCTCGATTTGAAAGATCTAAGAATTGATGATCATCTTTAAGAGCCCCCTCTTTCGCTACTGAAATTAATATCAGATCTGCCTTGTTATGAAAACACCCAGCATTAACTGGAAAGGACCCTGGCTGTCCGCAGCAGGTACTATACCATCCAAGGTAGATGCGGGCAGTGGTACATGCTGGGGTACAAGGTCACTCACAACTTCCTTCGAGACCCCAGATGTACAGCAGATATTGATTGATAAGTTAGGGCTGTCTGTAGTTTGTCTTTGCAAGCAAGAAGGTTTTGTGCTCAGTGGAAATCTTCCCCTTGGCCTAGCTTTTAAATTTGTTTTAAATAAAAATTGTCATTGAAAGAGCAACAAGCAAAACCCACAGATTTCAGACACCTTGAGTAATTTACAACAAGAGAAGGCACGTGTACTTAAACCCCCAAACCCTGACTTTTTGCAGTCGAGGGGGATGCCAACATCATTCGGGAGAGGTCTTGGCATTCATGCTTCTGCTCATGATTCAGGGTAAACCTGATTTTAGTTCGGATGCCAACTGGGAAGTTCCTCTTCCTACCAACATATGAAGAATAGAGCCCTACTGAACCTAACTGGCTCTACTCCAATTTCAGTCCATGTTGTGCAGAGGGACGATCCCAGGGTAGGGCATGTGACACAGGTCTGGCCAATCGGAATGCTCCATCTGCCTAGACACAGTGATTGGTTCAGTCAGAGACAGGCACATGACCCAAGCTGGGCTGTTCAGGGTCTTTCCTCACACTTTCGCTAGAGAAAGAGGCACTCGCCACAGCCATCTTTGCCTTAATGTGGGAAAAAGTCTTCCTTGGAATGAAGCCAACAAAGAAGAAAGCAGAGCCACCAGAAGGAGAAAGACAGACTCCCAATGACATCAGCTGGACCCCTGGATCCATCTTGGGCTTCTCAGAACCCCAAAAGAACCATAAACCCCCACACAGAACCATAAACACCCTGATGGCAGGAAACATCTCGGTCCATGGGACAGGGACACATGGGACACACGCAAGGTGAGCAGACCTAGAAATCAACTGCAGAACAGAATAAAGAGGGCGTCCTTGACTATACCTGGCTGAGAATCTATGCCTTCAAGGGGACGAGATGGAGACTTCTGTAAGATTTCTGTAAGCTGTGCCAAATGCTGTGTTAAAAATATTATTACTTAAGTGTTCTATTAGATTACAAGGAGTGTTCGTTTCAGAGGGCGGGCCCTGTCACCATCAACAAGTCTTCTTTAATTTCATAATGTTTCTATTTGAAATGCTCCTCTGGGCACCTAGACCAGGGAGAGCCATTACTTGCGGGCGGCTTATTTCTGACAACGTGTGACGCCTGCACGTCCTCCAGACCTGCCGTGCCCATGCTCACCTGAGGACCTGCTACAGCAGAATCACTCGTGTTTTAGCTAAAAAGGCAGATTCCAGGGCCCCACTCCAGACCTTCTGGATCAGCCTCTTGGAGAACAAGGCCAAGTCTCTATGTTTTTAAGATGCTTCACAAAGTATTCTGATGTATAGACTCAAAAGCCTACTTCAGAAAAAAAAAAAAAAGACATATTTGAAAGGACACAGGATAAAAATGTGATTAGACACTTGCTCAGTCAAGGGACTCTAACGTGGCAACTGGCTAAACATCCCTTTCCTGCCCACGCCCGTGTTGAAAATACAGATTAAATTTAAGAAACACACCTTAAAATTCATACATACCTCCTGACGTGAGCAGTCCATGTTGTCCACGTTACACATTCTAATCAGACCTATTAAAAATGAATAAAGAGCTCTCGATTTCTTCCTCTCCTACCAGTGGCTCTGAAAATCAAACTTTCTTAGAGCATAATGGGGATGACACGGAAAACGGAACTTTCCTGGATGTTCTGAAACCTCTGCTCACAGGGCTGCCTCTCTGAGGTCACAGATGTCAGCCCCTGGAGGAGTCCCTGGGAGAAGGGGAGAGGAAGGGGAGCTAGAGAACGAGGGGGCGGCGTGGGGACCCTGCTGGGCCATGTGCTGTGGTTCCAGCTCCTCCTGCCATGGCCACGCTTCCTTTCCCTTCCTCTCTTGGAACTTTTCCAGGAATGCACCAAGTTCACCGTAGAGGAGAAACCGAAGCAGAGTTACACATTAAAATAGAGAACAGGGAGGAAGCACCCCACCAAACAATCCCCCCGGCAGCCTAAACTCTTCTCTCTCTTCCTCTCTGGGCTGTTTTAACATTGGAGGTACTGTACCCAGGCCCTGGGGACTGTCACCAGGCAGCAGCGTCTGTTGCTAAGGGAGGAGAGGCCTCTGCTGTGTCCAGATACAAGATCGGGCTTGACTTCATTCAGTGTCCTCGTGTCTCCCTTTGCTGGAGGCGCGGCTGGGCAGCAGGAAATCTGATGATGGGAAGGAAGTTGGGAGGGTGTTTAGCAATGATCCAAGAATGTAGAGATGAGTGGCAACAAAGGACAGTGCCTTTGGAGAAGTCTAAATGCACGTAGGTCAATAGTTAAAGTCCTTGGGCTCTAGAGCTGGATGGGTCTGGGTTCAGATCCTGCCCATCCCATTAATTAGCTATATGGCTCAAGCAAGTTGCTTAATCTCTCCAAGTGTCTTTTTTTTTTAATGTAAGATGGCCCACGGGGTAGGTTTGAAGGTTTAACAAGATAATGCCTGTAAAGCAGTTTGCCCATAGTAGAAGGAGGACCAATATATTCCCAATTTCCTGGGACTTTCTGGGTTTTAACACTGTAAGTCCTGCATCCTGGGAACCCCCTCAGTCCTGGGAAAACTGGGACAATTTGGTCACCGACATAGTAACTTTGTTGGCTAACATCGTTACTATTATAAACACATATAAATCACACACAGCTGCTGTGAGTGAGCTGCTGCCCAAACATTCAAAGCAAAGTTCTCTCAAAATCAAGTTAGACGCTGAGATCTTTTTGGGTGCCATGCTTCCATATTCCTTTTTTCACTCATTTTTTTTCCCCAAACTCCATGATATTCCCATTTTATGGATGGAGAAACCCAAACTGAGAGAGCCATATAACTTTCCTAAGGTGACATGACTCATAAGTAGCACTGATACGATTCAAACCTTGTCCTTAAGACTCCAGAGTCCAGCGCTCTTTCCAAAAAGTGCCTGTCTAGACACAAACACTTCTGAGATCCCACGATGAGCACTGCAGAGTGCCAAGTACTTCCATTTCCCCTTTTCCTTACTTCTTCCTCAAAGTCGGCTCTCCATACTTTCAAAGGAAATCTGGGGTTCCTCATCTCTTATAATTGTACTCTCTACCATAAGGCATATCAACGTTTCGAATAGTGTTTGGAGTAAATGAGCCAGTAGCAGGGTTTGAGGCTTTGGTTTAGACAGAAATGGGGTTATTACCAGGCCCCATATAATAGGGCATGAAAGCCCATGTCCCCCAAATCCAGCTCCTGCAACCAATAACGCAAAGAGCCTGGAAGGGGCTTGGCATGGTGCTAATAAGCCCCACGGCCCTGTGGATGAGTAGGAAACATGCCCCTATCTGAAATTTAGTGTGCTTTGAGTCTACCTGTGTTCAAAAACGTCAAGGCAATAATAACAGCTTCCATCAACTGAGCTATAGTAGATGCTGGTACCGCGCTAAGCGGTTAACGAGCATCACCTCTCCACATCTTCTCAAGAACCCAGAAGAGGAAGGAAAAAAAATGGCGTAGATGATAGAGGCTCTGTTCATCCCTCTGGCGATCAAATCAAACTTGTGATGGAAACAAGGAGCAGCAGCAAGGAAAAATCGCCTGGGATCTAGAGGAACGAGCCCTACAACTAGGGAGAAATCCCAGAAAGCACCCTGCAACGGCAGAAGGTAGGACGGGGCGAAGACGCGGGGCTGCCTCGTCCCCAGTGGCTGAGTGAGACGAACACTGTGACAGCGACAGCGGCAAACGCCTCTTGAAGGTGCCACATCCACAAGCGAATTTTCGTGGTGACAGACCTGCTCGCTCTGAGCACCAGGGCCGATTTGGCTGAACACAGGGGGACTACTAAGGACTTACAGGGAGACACTGTCGGAGTGAGGGCCGAGGCGAGACTCGCTGGGTACAGAAGTGCTAGCGGCATCTATTGTTCCCTGTTGAGCTCTCCCCGCTCCCAGTGCGCAGACACGGCACAGCCATAGCCATGACATCATCAAACTGGATAACAGGGGTCGCTCTACCCAGCGGATTCCCTGAAACCCCGCCTCCCCCAACTCGGGCCTCACCCAAGCCACATCCTGGTATATCCCCAGCGAGTCAGGTGCTCCTTGCTGAGACTCACACTGGAGGCAGCTGGCCTCGGTTTCTGGTGTGGCCTTTTGAGGCAGCTATAAGCACAGCATCTGTGGATTGCTTGCTGAATCTTGACAGTCAGCCCCAGAGGGGCACAGGCTGGGATTAAATTTGGCCTGTAGCTGCACCCCTCTCAGGACTGTGTCACTGGACACCTACTTCACAAATCCACACTAAAAGACTGGGATACTTAGGGTTTTGCTTAGCACATAGAAACAGACACGGAAAGGCAGCCAAAGTGGGAAGACAGAGAAACAGAAATCTTATGAGAGAACAGAACAGAGATCCAGATAGAATGGAGTCAAGTAATCTACCAGATGCAGAGTTCAAAACACTGGTCATAAAGATGCTCAGCAAACTTTTGGGAAGTGTAGATAAATTCAGTGAGAACTTCAACAAAGAGATAAAAAACATAAAAATGGAAATGGAAATTATAAAAGGGAACCAGTCTGAAATGAAGAACACATTATCTGAGATGAGAAGTCTATTAAATGGAATAAACAAAGTGAATAAAGAAAATGATCAAATGCCCTATCTAGAAGACGGGAAAGCTAAGAACACTCAATCAGAACGGCAAGAGATAAGATGCCAAGACTATAAAAATAATTTAAGGAGCATATGGGACACTATTAAGGGTCAAAATATTTATCTGATTGGCATACCTGAAGAAAATCAAGATGTTAAACAGCTGTTTGAAAAAATAACGATGGAAAATTTCCCTAACCTGGTGAAGGAAATGGACATAAAACCCCAGGAGGCTCAGAGAATCCCAAAAACCAGGGATCCAAAGAGGCCCACACCAAGACACATCATCATTAAAATGCCAAAGTTAAATACAAAGAAAGAATCTTAAAAGCATCAAGAGAAAAGCAGATATTACCTATAAGGGAACACCCATAAGACTGGCAGCTGATTTCTCAAAAGAAGTTATGCAGGACAGAATGGCTTGGCACAAAATATTCGACGTGATGAAGACTCATGATCTATAACCAAGAATACTTTATCCAGCAAAGCTATCATTTAGAGTTGAGAGACAGATAAAGAGCTTCCCAGACAA